TCGTTTTTCATGGGCAAGCATGAACGGGAAACAATAGCCTCTGACCCTGAAAGTTGATGGCATAAGTGTGAAATCTGATCTTTGGTCATGCTCTTGAACCTGCGTAGGATATATTGTCAGCTTCTTTATGAGACCTATTTGGATACGTATCGGATTCACAATGTGGAAGAAAATAACAGCGTTTCTCTTAAAATTGAAGAAATAAAGAAGCAAAGAAAAGAAAAACACTACTTGGGCCGAAGCCACCGAAGCCTGAGAACTGGAAATTAAGTAGTGGTTAGAATAGTTCGCGAACTATACAAGAACCCATACATATGAGTAAATGAAGAGTATAGAAAGTGCTTGTCATCGAGCTCTTACATAAAGCTCCTTGCTCAGTATCTTCGTCTAGGGGACTTTATCTTATTTGTTTTGACGCGATAATCGAATATTGCTCCTTAATCCATGAACTATATATTAGACTTTCGTATATTGACACTGACTGTCAATTTTGAACCCAAGATCTCATTGAGGTGAGCCAATTATTACTCGCTGCCTGGTAGCAACAGACATCAAGTATAGATGGTTGTTTGTAGTTTCGATTCGTTTGAATTTGAGGGGTTGGACGAGAGGCTGCAGGCGTGTTGTCAGATATAGTTACTTTGGGGGTTTAAAAAAGATGCATGTACTCTCTTAAAATTAGAAGAATTGTAGGTGGGTGTATGGTTCTCTTAAATCAAACAAATGGATTCGTAGAAGGTACCAACATTGTCCTTCGTGATGTGATCAACCTCTCCTTATGATGTGTTTATCTTGTGTAAACCATTGGGCATGTTGCCATGAATTCAGCTCGACCTAGTAGACAGAATTATTCCATCGCAATGATCGAGTATTTGTAGTGGCCTAAAGACTGAGAGACATTGAAGACTGATTATAGAAAGGTGTGGTAGGTGATACGTGAGAAGAGGGGCAGAATGAAAGCTTACAGTAATGAATGTGGCCTGATGAGAGTGTGCGCATGTAATTAGGAAAATAAAGCTCCAACCTTAATTAAAATGCCCCTTGGGTGCGGTTCCTTGTAGGATAGAATTCGTAAAGCTATATAATCCACACCACTTACACTATGTAACGTGATCTGATACATCACAATTTCGACGCTACCAGCGGCGTAATATTAATGTGATACAGTTGGTAGGCAATATCACCCGCCATCACCCGCCATCACCCGCCATCATTCGCCATCGCCTGCCATCACGTGCTATTACAAGCTCCATTTAATATTTCATACTATTCACTGTTTGCTCTTCCAAAAATTTAGTGTTCTATTTCTTTTATCGGAGCTTCAATAAGTAAGTAACTCGAATCGTTATAAGCTCCTTTGTTTGTATCCTGACTTTGACATAGATCTATCTCACGCGCTGTCTTCGAAGCTGTCTTCGAAGCCATTTTCAAGCTCATCCTCAAGGTCATTCATTAGTGACAGTTTCAACGAGATGCAGGCTTAGTAAGACTCAGAACGAGATGTTCTCTTATATTCTCAACCGGTAATGGTTTCCCATTATTCTAGAGAGCAAGTTTAAAAAAGTTCAATATCGACAAAACAACGAGAGTGGTGGTCTAATGTGGTATGCACAGGGCAAAATCTTGGTATAAGTGATGATACCTCTAGCATCTGTAGTAACAGTTTGGTGTGGTCAACGAGACGAGTCAACCCGAGTAGCCACGAACAACTACTTTCACGATCGCGAGTCGAGATAATTAATTCGAGCTTATCTCACTGCTCGACTTGAGAAGCTCGAGTTTTTTAGGTGTTGCTTCTATGCACTCCCCACCTTTCTTTGTCTTGAAATAATCTTCTAGAGATGCGGACAATATCAGTGATAATTTAACACTTTGGCATGGAGCCTCAGTATATATTTGGCTCCCAAATTCAGAATAATGAGTTTATAAGATCTTGGGGTATCAAACACGAGCAATATAATATATTGACATAAACAGAGCTAGTATGACTTCAAGGGCTAATAATCGAGACCACTTGAGTCAAGCCGAGTAGCTGCCAGTATCACAGGTCGAGTCGAACTTTTCCTCGGCCTTCCTCTCTTCTCGAGCTGGCTCTAATCAATAAATCAATCAATCAACCAATCTCGAGCTGGCTCGCGGACCACATCCACTACAAGGAGCAATTACCAAAGTTTTTTGTCAGTTCTAACATAACCTTGGTATTTGTCTTCCTTATCCTGGTAGCGGCCAAATTTATCCTCGTCTTAGCAGGTCCTAGTTGCAGCTTTCCCCCAAGTGCACCTCTTAAACCCCATATTATCAATCCGGCGGACCATTATTGGACCTGTACGGGGTATATGAGTGATGATAGAGTATTAGATCATATCTCGAGACAAATCTTAGCCTTGTCTCGAGATGAAGTTCCTCCAAACGCTCTGTATTGCCGGGTGATCTTGCAGGCATGCGTGCAAGTCTCAAGACGATAGCTCGAGATATCTTGTCTCGTGGCCATCACTAGACAGTGACTTCCGACCTCCAGAAATGTCCTGCATTCAGTTTAGACAAACATCGTGGTACCAAAAATCCATGGGACATTCCAAACCAGAGTATTTTAAGGCATTTTAAACACCGGATACGTATACAAATCTTAAGATAGAGATAGAAGTGTTTTCAAGCTATTAAATATCGTATACTTCGAGTTACGTATGTGGAGCTATGCAATTCAGAAATTGGGGTGGGTCATCATCCGATTAATTCATTGTGCGTGGTCATGACATATATGTCATACTAAACCCAAATTACAGATTTGGGTCATACGCCATCACTCGTTCATACCACATATCGGAGTGTTCGTAAGAATCAATTACTCCTCAACGCATACAAGTATACAAGCTAAACACACGTACGTAGCCTGGTGTCGCCGACTCCGAGCCCTTCAAGAAAAGATTCCCGGATACATTCGTACGACTTCATGTAATACTATTTGTAACCCAGCTGGAACTTGAAAAAGGACGGGGAAACAAAGTTTTTAATGCTCATTGAGTATCATATAAGGATAACGTCAGTCTTGGACCTAGGCAATCAGTCCATACCCTAGTCTCGTTCCCAGACTGTGTTATGTGTGACCATGTGCACCATGAGCACAGTCTGGTGTAATAAGTTTTCGGAACTTCCTCTGAGAAATGTCCGAGTGACTCCGGGGGGCTCTCGGAGAGTCTAGGGGTTTGGAGAGATTTTAAAACCCCGAAATACTTGATTTTGTATGGCAAAGTCGCAAAGATTTAAGGTTCGCCGGGGATATTTAAGGTTCAGAAAACCTCCGCTAGCGTTCAAATTTTACGCTAGTTCGGGGTACTCTCGGGGGGGTGCTGAGCCCATACAAAATACCCCGAAAAGCCTCTTTGAGAGCCCCCCGAGAGCCCTCCGACGCTAATATCTCCGAGAAAATAAGCCACCAAACGAAAAAGACCTATTACACCAGACTGTGCCGGTGTTGGCACATTCTGGGCACGAGACTACCCATACCCATATATATCTCCCCGAACCGAAAACCATGCATCCTTGATTACAAATCAATATATTACTAGGGAAGGGCAATGTGTAAGGATAGATTGCAAGTCTGCCGATAGCTAGGGTTAGTCATTCGTTAATAGCACTGTATTCGTGGCTAGAGAGAATAGTCAGCATCATACAAGTAGAACAGATCATATACCAGACTAACTGGTATATTCTCGGCCAGGGGACTCTTCTACAGCCACAAAATTATCTACATTACAAGGACAGGACTTTTTACAACGAGTGAGAATTTATGACGGAACCCACCGCTTCTTCACTCTCGAGTCTGTCGCTGATCCCACGTCATCCCACTAAGCCTCGGTTGTTGATTCTGTCAAACATCATTTGATGATTACCATAGGAAATCATCACAATACAAATTGGTTCCAATCGGGATTGTGTGAGCGGGGTATTCCCGAATGCGGATAGGAACCTGTGAGTAGAAATGTGAATTCTCTTTTGCCATATCGAATTCATTGCAAGTGAGATAACGTGTAACAGATGTGATTTAGGTTGTTGATAAATGATGAACGGGATTCATACGGCGTCAGGGCATCAAATCGATTATCTTATCCACCTCTTGCTCGTCTCTGTTTCAGGTCTGTGCATGCAGACACATAGGACTACGAACGCTTGCCCGGGCAGTGGGGCTGAAGTATGGCGGCCGGAAGGGTTGTAACCTTTTATTGAAAGTCGAGTATTCGCCAACTTTCTGGTTGGGCCCGCAATTCTTCATATTCGGGGAGAACAGGAATTGGCGAGGGATAGGATGGTACATGCATATATACACCACGGATATATCGGTCTGGGTAATTGGCGAGGGGTAAGATGGTGTGTATACACCACTCCACGCATGCAGTATTTCCTTTTTTTTGCGACTTGGCATATATAGGGTTAGGGCCAGACTCAATAGTAGATACTAATATACCTATGTTGAGACCCCTATGATTGCGGTTTTACTTAATTAAGGACATATATACGTAATTGTAACCAAACGATGCTTGCTGTCTCTTGAGCTGTCCAAACAGTCCCGGGCGCAGTGCATGGAGCGCTCACGATAATGATGGACATTCACTAGCATGGCCATTATGGTGCGAAGTTCTTCACTGGTTAACTGTCAAAATTCTTATTTTGGTAACCAACATGGTGGCGGCGCTTGGCTGAAATACGTAGATATGTGCTTACCTACATGTAGCGTAGGCAGCAGTTCAGCTTCGCCGGAGCAAAAGTGAATGCAGAAGTCTGATTGATTGGCTGCGGCGCTTCTGGATAATGCGCATGTTACACCAATCCCGGGTGTGGCAGTGGCCAGTGACAAAGCGCATGCCCGAATACGTATGTATGTATTACATAGGAGGCAGCGCAGCCAGCAGCGCAAGCTGTGAAAACTGTGATCAAAAAGATGGGGGACAAGGGAGGTGTACTAGTACTCTTCTTCGAATCTTCAACAACATTCACCCCCGACCATGGCAAAACGAGCCCCGACACCGATACCGCCGCTCGATATTCTTCGGTTCAAGCTCAACACAAAGTTCGAAACAGCGAACGAAATTGTTGAGCACTCGGAGGGCGTGGGGTCAGGGTGGTTATGGCCGGTCGTCTGGCTGCTGCAGGTAGGCGCTAGATGGAAGACGGGGCAGAAGCTCGGCGAGGGCGGGTACGGGGAGGTCTATCTTCAGCAGGAGCAACAGACGGGTGAATTGAGGGCGGTCAAGAAGGTAAAGCTGAATAGCACGGGATACAAGGGGCCGGGGGATCGGCATAAGGTGGTCGAGCGGGAGTTGAGGACGATGCTTGAGTTGAGAGATGTGAGGAATTCCTCTAGCTTTTTGTGGTTGATTTACAACTGACATGAAATGGTTAGAACCACCTTTTCGTGAAATGCCTGGGATGGTACGAGGACACGAATTCAATTTATATTGCGATGGAATACATGGAGGGCGGCGACTTATCACAGTACATAAAGGATGATCATGAATCTGAGAGGATGACAGAGGAAAAGGCCCGACAAATAATTGAGCAAGTACTCGATGGGCTTGTGGTATTGCATAAGTTAAAAATATGTCACAGAGATTTAAAGCCAAAGGTATGGGAATTTCTGATTTGCTTGCTCAGTTGTTGAAACCATACCCCGTACTAGGATCGTTCCCAGTCCCATATCGACCCGATACCCACAAATGGTTTACTACTACTCGAGTTTAGTTATGAGCTGCAAATATGGAGGTCGTATCAAGGTAAGATCTCTATGGTGGAGCTCAATCTAAACAGAAAAAGTATATCAATGGGGGGTGTCAGTGTAGTGGGAAACCTCAATTATCTATGCCTAACCATTGTGTATATTTGTGCATTGATATTCCTGGCAAACATATTAAGATTCCTTACTAAAGAATTGTAGAATATTCTTATCGCCGACTTCGACCCCTTGCGTATCAAGTTGGCAGATTTCGGATCATCAAAATCCATGGTGAATAAGACCCAGTCAGGTAATCGGGGAGGGACCTTTGGATACATGGCGCCGGAGCTACTGGGATACCATATGCCCAAAGAAGTCTTTGATTGGACGGCTGTGGATATGTGGGCTCTAGGTTGTGTTGTTTTCGAGGTCATGACCGGTCAAACGCCTTTTGCTGTAGCCGCTAAAGCTACCGATTCCGAGAGCTTTTCTTGCCTTCACCCGGAAGCGTATACCCTAGAGGCTAACACAAAGCTTTTTAACGCTTACTGCACCGGTAACGCGGAATTTCCGGAGAAGACCTTGAAGCATCGCATCCCTGTCTCTGAGTGGGGTGTGGAATTTTCTCAGAGGTGCCTAGCTCCCGAACAGTGGCTTAGGATAACCTCAAGTGAGGCCCGGATGCATAGGTGGATAACAAAGCGGGACGAGCTTGAGGACTTGATGTACAAGTATGGGATGGGCGACATTTCAGCCATGAGAGAAGCACTCATATTGGCGGCGAGCAGTGGGAGAACAAAGTGCTTATCCAACCTCTTGGATAAACAAGGGGTTGACATCAACGCGTACGCCAATGAGCCTAGAGTACATGGTAGGACACCACTCCAGGTGGTAGTGGATGAAGGGCATATCGAAGTCGTAAGATATCTCTTGGATAGGGGTGCGGACATCAATCTTGAAGCAGGGGAATTTGGAGGTCGAACAGCACTTCAGACAGCAGCAGGTAGAGGGCACCTCAATATTGTATCACTCCTCTTGGGTCGAGGCGCGGACATCAATGCCAGGCCAGCGGAATTTGATGGACGGACGGCGCTTCAAGCAGCGGCAGGTAACGGACATATCGAAGTGGTGGAACTCCTCTTGGAAAAGGATGCGGCCATAAATGCTAGAGCAGGATATGACCACGGTCGAACAGCATTACAGGCAGCGGCGGAGGGTGGTCATCTTAGGGTTGTGGAACTTCTCTTGAGCAAACGTGCCGATGTCAACGGACAGCCGGGGGATGAGTATGGTCGAACGGCACTACAAGCAGCGGCAGGTCGTGGACACGCTGGGGTCGTGAGCTGCCTCTTGGATAATGGTGCCGATGCCAACGCCGAACCAGGAGGCAGCGGCGGCCTTACAGCTTTGCAAGCAGCAGCAGCTGAAGGGTACGCGGACGTCGTGAGGCTGTTATATATAAATGACGCCAACATCGATGCTAGAGCAGGAGAGAACGGTGGTCGGACAGCACTGCAAGCAGCGGCAGGTAATGGCCAAACACGAATGGTGATGATTCTCTTGACTATTATGGATGCCGATATCGACGCTGCAGGGGCACAATCTAATGGCCGAACAGCGCTGCAGGCGGCGGCAGAAGGGGGACACCTCGATACCGTGACGTTGCTCCTGAAGCGCGGCGCATACGTCAACGCCAGAGCAGTGGATTATCACGGTCGAACAGCGCTACAAGCAGCAGCAGGCAACGGATACACCAAAATCGTCTCACTTCTGTTGAGTAAGGGTGCGAATGTCAATGCCCCCGCAGGGCATAGCAATGGTCGAACAGCACTGCAAGCAGCGGCGGAAAACGGTCATATGGATATTGTGCGCATCCTCCTGGATAGAGGGGCGAATGTCAATGACGAGCCGGGGGATATCGAGGGCCGAACAGCACTCCAGGCAGCAGCAGGTGGAGGGCATCTCGACATCGTGTTACTCCTCATAGAGAAGGGTGCCAATGTCAATGCTAGTGCTGGGTGGGGCAACGGCATGACAGCGTTTCAGGCAGCAGCAAACGGCGGGCACGGCTCGATACTGAGAGTCCTTTTTGAGAAAGGTGCTAACTTCAAACCAAAAGACGAAACCTCCAGTGGCCGGATAACACTCGGGATTTCAGAAATTACAAGGATGCTACGACGTCCCTCACTCGAAGGTGTTCTTTGATTAGAGCTTCAGCGTTAACCCCTTTCTTTTCTTTCACATATATTCTTCTTTTCTTATGCACTCTTCTTAATTCTACTTTCTTTTAAAGCATTTATTTATATATGTGTATAGCGCATTTGTATATAGTACTCATAACAGACCCGCCCACGTATTTCTTTTGTCCTAATTATGTAATTATGTATAACGCCACACGATCGCAGTATTCATATTTTTTCATTAAGCTACATTTACCCTCATGACTGACCCATATTCTTCAAAGAAGTGGCCAAAAAAAAACCCCCCAATCATAATCTCCGACTGACACTTGGCATCTAGATGTATGATCTGCAGTTACCTGTGAGCGCCTAATTATTGTTCATCAGATGCAATCCGCGTCTAGTCTATACTAGAGTTTACGGATAACAGATACCCAGCTGCAGGCAGCTAGTATATTTGATGTTGGAATGTGGGGGGTAGTAGTAGTATGGCGTTGGAGACTTTTGTGGAATTTTTTTTGTATATGTATATATTAGGAGAGACGAGCTGTGCATACACACATAGGCCAAATACTGTGCTTGAACACATAAGCGTTAAGTTTATAAGAGGTGTGCGTGCATGCGCTACTATTAATTAATTTCGGGGTCTTAACCAGGTAATCAATTAATAATATCTCGGGTATATATATATTTCTGGCGAGTGATGCCCTATGCGCCAAGCCATGGACAAGGTTCTTGTCAATAGGCCGGACTCGGACAGGGTGCTTCACCCGTCTTTTGGGTTTTAGCACCTGTGTATGTACAGCCAGTCAGCAAAAGTGTTTGAGATATAGTTTTAATGTCGGTGCGCAGTGTGGCGCATCCGTAATACTGATGTTATTAAAGTTGAGATTCAAAACAACGAGAAATATATAATATTGTCCGTGACTATTATAGATATATATAAAAGGAAGATAGGTCATTGATCGTAGTATTCTTCATTAACTTGGGCACCATTGGTCACTGGGAAGGTCTTCTGATCTTGGGGGTTCTTGATGGCCCACCACGGTTACATATGGAGAAATGCCTCACTCCGAAATCGGAATCACGAACAGTTTTGCAGAGTGGCTGTAGCTACAGTCACCTCTCGATATAAGGATATGGTCGGGACCGAAAATCTGTGTTGAATATATTCTTATCGCTTCGTCTGGCGAAAAATGCGGACCCCACCCCCCCCCCCCAAAAAAAAAAAAAAAGAAAAAAAGCAAACTTTTGTGTGGCTTTACTAACAGATCCTGCTATCTCTCTTATCAAATAATAGATCTCCCATACAAATTTAATTCCTCTATTATAGGGGGGTCAGCATTGCCAGACTAAGGGATAAGGCGAGTATCACTATAAGAAGTAAGGAGATACTAGTAAGAAGGTATTTCGGGACCACCGATTGCTATCATTATAACGAGAGTATCACTATATGAAGTATCACTATAACGAGAGTCGACTGTAGAGACCCCACTCCATACTATGACCAAGTTAGGCCAATGACCGAAACAATATCGATGAGTGCTTGAGTTCATCTATCCTTGGGTATTATATATACGTCCCTTTGATCTCGAATGGAACACCCATGACCATAGCTACATGTACCCAGGGCTGCTGGAAAGTGATGTAACGGCTAGTTCTTGGGTGACTTCGCAACCACCCTAGTTTCTAATTTTGTTTAAACTTGATTGATGAACTCGATCCTTATACTCTCTTTACTCTATATAACCATTTATTGTTGCTTCGTTAGAGTTAAAGTTGGGTCGTGCGTGGTTGAGGTCTTGAGAGTCGTTGCATCACTTTCGATTTCTGGGTACATACATGTACCCAGGGGTGCCGGAAAGTGATGCAACGACTCAATTCACTACTCACGATTTCAACCACATGCAACCCAACTTTGGCTTTACTAATGAAGCAGCGATATATAGTATGTAAAGTAAAGAGAGTATGAAGAATTCATCAATCATATCAAAATAAAAGAAATTACATGTAAGGTGGTTGCGAATTCACTAGGACCTCACCCTATATTTCCAAGCCGTTGCATCACTTTTGGGTACCCCTGGGTACATACACAGAGTACAGGCATAGATGTACCGTATATACCGAGCGCTTCATCATGCTCTCACCCGTTTTGAGTCTTACATAGATACATGTATGTACCAATTACTTGTAAGTCCTTTTAGAACTAATGTACAGCCACTCGTCAAAAGTGTTCGTGATACAATTTTAATGTTAGTGCACAGTGTGGCGCACCCGTAATACTGATGTTATTAAAGTTGAGATTTAAAACAACGAAAAATATATATAATATAGTTCGTGGCTATATATAAAAAGAAGATAGCTCATTGATCGTATTCTTCATTAATTTGGGTGCCATTGGTCACTGGGAAAGTCTTCTCTTGGGGTGTTCTTGATGGTCCGCCGCAGTTACATATGGAGAAATGTCTCACTCTGAAATCGGAATCACGAACACTTTTGCAGAGTGGCTGTAGCTATATGTAGCTACAAGTACATTCTGTAGCTATAACCCCCACTGCTCCCACGACTCCCACTGCGATCGAGTGATCCCACATGCGCCAAGCTAGCTAGCCGAGTGTAAGCCCACCCACGAGCAGACTGGCAGAAGTAAGGCTTACCACATACACATACAACTCTTGTCATGTCATGTAACCCGTACCTACGCTACCTACCTACTTACCTCGTTGTGCAAAAAAGGTCTCTCCATATAGATTCGCCCATATCTGCCCTTTCCCACCCCCTCCCTTCCCCCCCGCGGCCAGTGCAGCTCTACCGCCAGAACCAGAACCACCAGAACGCAAACACCCGCGGTTAACCCATCCCCTCCGCGGTGCCCTCGCCCCTCCGGCTCCCTCGGTCTGAAACCCAACCCCCAGGAAAGCAAAGCAGCGGGGCAAATCACAAGAGTGGGGGGGGGGGGGAGGCGATCAAACGGTCGCGTAATCATAGACCCTATCAGTAGGGACTATGGGGGAGGCAGTGGCTGCGCATGGAGGGGGGGGGGGGGGAGGGTGGATGCGCATCTTATATGGTTGTTCAACGGCTGGCTGGGTGGGGTTTGGGGGGGGGGGGTCCGGGGTCCGGGGGTCCGGGGGAGTAGATAGCATATACATGTGCTCTGCGCAGTGCGTGTTGGAGTGGGTATGGTGCTATACATGTAGAGTACATGTAGAGTACTAGTAGCGATTCTACGATCTCATCCGCCGATGCTACTCTACCTACCTACTCTACTTGGACGGCCGGCCAGGACTACGACTGCGCGCGTATACTTTGCTCTGGAGTATTCTATTCTACTCCGCTCTACATTGCCTTGTACTGTTGCAGGTACATACCGGATCCGTCTGTACCGGTCCGTCCGGCAGCGTATGTACATACTCTACAAGTATGCACATACTTCCTTCTCCGTCCTGGCCACTCCTCGGCAATCGATCGCTGAGCACTATAGACAGTCTCATCCTGGTCCGGCGGGTAGAGTACTATACAGGTAGCTATCTATATCACCATGTATCTATCCATCCAACTCAGTACTCTAATCACAGCTCTCTACTTAGATGTAGCTCTAGTTCTAGAGCCAAGCACACTAGCCGCAACGGACCTGACGTTTTTGAAACGGCCTAGCCGCGACGGGCGGGGCAGGTACAGCCTTTAACACTGTACTCTATGTAGATCGTGTGCTGTGGGGGTTGGGTCGAGTTTGGTTGTTGTGCATAGAGAGTAGAGTAGGGTAGGTGAGTATATTGTTGGTGGGAACTGTAGATGTGGATGTAGGTATCATCAGAGAGTGAGAGAGGAGAGGACCAGTCTGCGAGAAACTCGTAAACCTCACTCACTCACTTACTCACTCATGGATGTATGTATGTATCAAGTATGTGCTCTACTCTACTCTACCTCCTCTACCCTACCCGGGGCGTACTCTACCGTACCGTGCTGCCCCCCAAAATTCCACCGACGTAGAATATGTATCCTCGACAGCTCCACCGACGTAGCTGGCTGGCCACACATCCCTACCTACCTAGGTACTCTGGGAGTACTCTACTCTAGCTTCTCATGCTCGCGCGTAGAGAAAACTACTAGTCCGTCTCCTCAGGCACCCCCCCAACAAACGTTACTTCTGCGCACACTCAGTAGGTACACGTACCACGCGTTCTCTGATCTGATAGGCTGCTCGCCAGCGCAGCCCTAACCCTCGCCTCTCGCACGACACTGGACCAGCACATGTCTGTGGATGGTGGTGTGTGGTTGGGTTGGGTTGTGTGGTGTCATGCACGCCGACAGGAGGGGGGCGCTTATGCGGCCCGGTTGGGGGTGGGAGTATGTATGTATGGCGAGGGGTCGGTCACGATATCGACGGAGCTGGCTGAGGAGACACAGTGGAGGTCGGATGGTGGGTGATAGGTGCTGGGGGAGGGTGTTGGGAGATTTGGCGTTTAGGTGAGAGTGAGGGGATGGGAATAACTACAGAAGGGGAAAAAGACGGAGACGGAGGGCATGAAACAAAGGCATGCCAGGCTGGTGGGTGAGTGAGTGAGTGAGTGAGTGAGTGAGTGAGTGAGGCAGGCATGCAGTGTGCGGGTACCACCCGTGTATGTACGAGTAGGTAAGTAAGTAGAGCCCAAGATGTCGGGTTGGCTGTGTGGACTGATATAAGTAACCCTGGCCAACTCACCCGCCCACCACTTCCTTTCCTCTCTCCTCTCTCCTTCTCTCGATCTCTTTCCTCAATTCATGTTCCCGTGAGGAGTTTTGTGCTACAACTTCAGTCAGTGCAACACACACTCTCACACTCACTCACTTACTCTCACGCATCCATCCATCCCAACACAACCAATTACTCGAATCCCACCCACCACCACCACCACCACCACCACCACACAATGTCCAAATCCTCCAAATCCTCCTCCAAGCACCTTCCCAACGACCCCACCACCCTCTCCTCCACCCTCTTCACCACAATCCTCCTCTTCGACACCATCAGCACCCACAAAACGCACTCCAAAAAGCACCAATCCCTGCTCCTGCAACTCTCCATCGAGCGCCTCTTCCTCATCACCTGGGGCAAGACGCTCGGCCTCCTCCGCGACAAGGGCCACAACCCCCGCCCGCTCGACGCCCGCCTCAACAGCATCGAGACCCGCAACGTCATCACAAACCTCCTCACCCTCATCGCCGGCGGCTTCAGCGAGCGCGGCGGCCTCGAGCGTCTCCGCGACGACGAGGTCATCGTCACGCGGGAGGGATTTGAGTGGACGCACGTGAACCTCCGCTGCCTGAGTAAGAAGCTGCAGAAGAAGGCGGCCGCGAAGAAGAAGGTGTTTTGGGTCGTGAGTGACCGCAGCCGCTTCTCGGCGCTGGTGAAGGAGATTAGGGGCTATAATGAGAGCTTGAATAGGGTGCTGCCGGCGGGCGGTGGGGGTGGTGGCGGGGGTGGCGGGGGAGTGGGGGTACGTCGAGTACGGAGACGATGGAGATTGTGGTGCAGCATCAGACGTTTGGGAATGGCATGGGGATGGGGGGCATGGGGAATGGTGGGGTGGCGTATAATGTCAATATGAGCAATGGCTTGGTGTCGCCGACGGCGTTCGATCACCATCATCAGCATGTGCATCAGCACCAGTTCATCACGCAGCACGCGGGCCACCAGCAGCAGCAGCAGCAGCAGGGGCAGCAGCAGCAGACAATGTATATACCGACGATCCCGTCGCCGCCGCCAGCGGCACCGCATCCGGCGCAGTATTTGATGATTGAGGCGCCCCCGCCGCCGCCGCTGATGCTGCAGCAGACGCCGTATTATGATGATATGGTTGAGATTGAGGAGGCGCGGCATCCGGATGAGAGGGAGACGGTGCATATGTATAGGACGTATTAGGGCCCGCGGAGGTGTGGGGAATGATTAAATGGGTGTTTTTCTTTTCTTTTTTCTTTTAGGCTTTTATTACATGGAGGGCGGGGGGGGATCTGATTTTGCTAGTTGGCTTTTTTTCTGTCGTTTTTTTTTCTTTAAGTCTTGCTTGTGCTTTAAAGTCTTTGCTTGCGAGATATATCTGCTTTGTCGGAGTTTGGCTGTTATTTTTCTTCCGCTTGCTAGTTCTATTTCATTTTTTCCCCTTCTTGTTCTCTGGTTTCGGGCTTCGGGATGGGATAGGATGGGATATATTAGGTCGTTCGTTGATGATAGTGCACGTAGTAATGATGACGAGACGAGACAAGGCATGAGTTGGGTGGGGCGGGGGGTGGAGGTTAGAAGAGTGGAGGTTAGAAGAGAGGGGGAGGGAGGGGGAAGGGGAGAGGAGGAAGATGAGGGAGAGGAAATGATATTCATAGCGTAGCATACATATAATACACACCACTGGATCGATCTGTTTATATACAGCACAGTACCGCTATAGAGGTGGATATTACCTTGATCAAAGTATAGTAGCGCAGCCACCCACTCTTACGTAACATGCTGTGGTTTCGATCAATCAGTCGACCAAGGGAACAATGTAGATTGATGTAAAGATAGATGTGTAGACTCATCTGTGCTTAAGTAGTGTAGGTAGGTGGGTAGGTGGGTACATGTAGGTAACTGGCGAGGAGGTAGGTAGGCAGTGAGGAGGTACATGTAGGTTGCACAAGTAGCTATTTACATAGCTACATGGCTAAATCTACATGTAGGTGCGCAAGTGGTCAATCAAACCACCTAGCTATATAGCTCGGCTCTGACCATGGTCCGCTTCGACCGTACAACGTAACGGTGCTGTCTGTGCTGGTCTTCTAGTTCGGGTGCAAAAAAAGGACATCATGACTATAACTAGCTGGTATAGTTGGCTAGCTAGCTATGTATAATATACCGTATACAGCGCGAAACTGTGAGGAAGAGGTGGCGTGATAGTCTGGCTGTACGTGCCCTTGGTTATGGCGTGTGTATATAGGGGAGAAATCCGGGCGGTGATGTTGGTAGGCTCTTCTATCGTCTAGTAGGTGGTTTGGGCTCTAGATCTTGTTGCAGAAAGTAGCTATAGCTATGTATTGGGATACGGCGGGAGGTGGGGGTGGGGGGTCATGGATTATCATCCGTACTAATATCTGTTTCTAGACAGCATGATATCACGATAGAGCACTCGGCGCAGATGTAGTCCTTTGATATTAATGTTTCTTTCTTTCTATTTTCGACCGCCATGTGTAATGGGGCTAGCTACATAGGTGCAGGATTGATATATGTATAACTATAGGAGTCAAGGTTTCTGGGCTGCATATATATGGGCGGGCTGTTGTGTTTTTTTTTTTTTTACAGTTTTTGATATTATATCTGTTGTTACTACTTTGTCTATATAGACAACGATTGATGATACGTGTTTATTGTTAGCTAGTTATAACAGGAGCCTGTTCGTTCCTTCTTCTCTCGTTACTTCGCTATTTAATTCAATCATATAATTAGTATGACCCGGGGGTCCCTATAAGTAATGCAACAATCATGTCATATCAGACAGATATCTATCTAATCCATACTTCCCAACACCAATAGGATAGGAAGTGAATTTATGGTAATCTACAACCTGGGGACCACCATTCTAGCAAGGAATGTTACGAATAGCTGTTGCTTGTCCCTTTTATCACCTTTGGCACTAGCTAGTGGTCGGAAGAAGTTAACTTTGCAAAACGCAGATTCTATACTAGAGGCTCCGCCCCGGTGTTATGCGTATGATCAGAATATCTGTGTTTAAACACCGGAATCTGGTGCCTTTTGGCGTTGTTGCATCACTTTAGGGACCCCCGGATACCGTGGTATTGGATATCGGCTGATGTGGGGTAGCGTAGGGTAGTGGGAGTGGGAGGGTATGGGTTCTAAAGATGGATATGGGCCGGGGTGAGCTAGGGTGTTCCTGACTGGTGCTGGCCCTGGGCTTGGGATGGGATGGGATGGGATGGGATGGGATGGGATGGTATAGAGCCGTTTGGTAGCTGGCGGGGGCTTTTTGGTAGCTGGTAGCTGGTAGGTGGTATTACCCACATTCACATTCACATTCACATTCACGCCCCCACCAGCAAAAAGAGGCAAGAAAGAAAAAGAAAGAAAAAAAAAAAAGAGGCAAAAAGAACCAGCGAAAGCAAAAACCACACCATACTTACAACCCCCACCGCCACTCTTAATACCCCTCCTCCTCCTCCTCCTCCTCCCCCCCCCCCGGCCCCCCTCTCCTCCTCCCCCCTCCTCCTCCCCTCCTCCCTACTCCCCCCAATCCTCCGCACCCCATCCACAACCCCCTTGACAAACCCCCTCACCTCCGCAATCTCCATCGCCCCCAGCCCATTCATCATCACATACGTCCCCTCCACGCCCGCGCGCACGCCCTCACGCACCTTCCCCTGCCGCACCTCGCGCAGCTCGCGCAGCTGCACGCGCACGTCGCCGATGTCGTCCGCGGCGACTTCGAGCAGCAGCTCGGCCGTCTCGAGCCAGCGGAAGGGCAGCAGCGCGCTGAAGAAGGTGGACTCGGTTTCGGATCTGAGCGCGGCGTCGAGTTGCGGGGGCGTGAGCCAGGGGGGGGGAGGATGTTGCAGCGCCGTTGACGCTTGAGGAGGAGGGCGAGCCAGAGGGGGACGGTGGCGCGTTGCGGGGGGTGGAAGGCGGGGAGGGTGCCCTGTGGTAGTGGTGGGGTTGTTAGTGGTGTGGTGAGGAGGGGGAGAGGAGGGAGGGGGGGGGGGGGGGGACGGACAGAGATGAGGGGGAGACGGTCGAGGCGCTGGCGTGGGATTATGGTGATTGGTTGGGACTCGGCGAGGAAGGCGATTTCGGAGGGGGTGAGGGGGCCCGTGCCGGGGAGGGGGGAGCCGGCGGTGGTCATTTTGTGTGTGTTTGGTGGTGGGGAGTGTGTGGATGGTGTTTGGTGGTGGGGAGTGTGTGGATGGGGGTTGTGGATGGGGGTTGTGGATGGGGGTTGTTTGGTAACTTGTTTATCGCAGCACGCGACTCGAGTAAGAGGTGAGAGGTGAGGTTTCAAGACCAGAGCGAGGACTCGCACCCCGTTCCATGTCGGCCCTTTCTGCACTTGAATCTCTGCCTTGTATCACTCCATGATCCTCCGGTGCCTCAACGTCTACAGGGTTAGGGTTGCCACACCACTCACTTGTGATTGGTTACACGGCAGGGCTAGGGGCCGCGGCAAACTCTTCAGTGCCAGGGTCCAACACTCGGCACATTCCGTGAGGGAAAGATTGGGGGTTTCTTGTAGATGGAGATGTGTTGCGGTGTTTACGGGATATGTAGGACACGAATTGCAGAGCTCCTCCAGTGTTGTCTATCTGTCTCTGTATATTACTCTACTGTCGATCATGCCTTCTCTATATTACTCACCGAAGAGGCAGAGACAGACAGCCATTGGTCCACAGTGCAGTGGGTGAGTGAGGCTCAACAGAAACGTGCAGTGGACAACCGACAACTATCTAGCTGAACTGCGTCCTTTCCCTTTCCCTCTTTCCTTCTCCCCTCCCCTCCCCTCCCCCCGACACTCCTCACTTCCCCATACACGCAAAAAAAATTACAAAAAGCAAATACACAACCAGAGGGGTGTATCAACAAGAAAAATGCACCCTCTCATCCCCGGGCCTGCGTCATCGCCGCGGCGACTGTGGCCGTGAGCATGCTCGTCAACACTGTTGTGCCGGAGCCCTATCTGGTACGCCGGTCCTAATTGCTCTTGATGTTGCTGGAGGTAGAGGTGGTGGTGGTGGTGGTGGTGGTGGTAGTAGTAGTAGTAGTTGGTACATAGCGGAGGGCAGGCAGCGCTGACAGCCCTCTCTCTCCCCGCACAGGACGAAGTCTTCCACATCCCGCAAGCACAAGCCTACTGCAGCAACCGCTTCGCCGTCTGGGACCCGAAACTCACCACCCCCGCCGGCCTCTACCTGCTCTCCTACCCGCTCGCCTTCATCTCCACGTGCACGCCCGCCGCGCTGCGGTTGCTCAACGCCGTCGGTGTGGCTCTCGTGCTGCCGCTCGTCACGTACCAGATCCTGCGTCTCGTGCACCCGGGCTTGCCGCGCGCCGCGGCCGCACACAGCGCTGTCAACGTGGCGCTGTTCCCGCTGCTGTTCTTCTTTGCCGGATTGTACTACACGGACGTGTATTCGACGGTGTTTGTGCTGCTAAGCTACTTGTGCTGGCTGCAGCGCCGGACGTGGGCGAGTGCGGGGGCGGGATGGGTGGCGCTGTGGTTCAGGCAGACGAATGTGTTGTGGGCTGTGTTTCTGGTTGTGCTGGAGGGCGTGAGGGCGCTTGAGGTTGCGCAGGGGGAGGAGAAGGCGGAGGAGCCTGCTGCTGCTGCGGCGGCGGCGGTCGAGGCGGTGGCGGAGGGGAAGGAGGTGACGCCGGCGGTGACACCGATTGCGTCGCCGGGGGGGAGGAGGAAGAAGAGGAAGGGACGGCCGGCCGTGGCATCCCCGCAGGCACCGACGCCGCCGGCGCTGAGTAGGGTGAATTCACGGCTTGCGGAGGAGGAGCCGCTGCAGCCGCTGGTGGTGCTGCCGCAGGAGGAGGTCCAGGATGGGCCGTGGACTATCAATGTGCAGTCCACCCCCGCGCGCACCAGCGAGCTGTCCCAAGCGTGGTCCCGCGTCCTCGACATGGCGTCCAAGATCCGCGTCTGGAACCCTCCGTTCACGGCCTCCGTCACTGCGCAGGACTTCTTCTTCTCAACCCCCGTGTCCATCCTCCTCGCGGCGCTGCAGCACTGGACCGCCCTGCTCGTCGCGATCCTACCGTACCTGTGTGTGCTCTCGTCCTTCGCCATCTTCATCCTCTGGAACAACCTCTCCATCGTCCTCGGCGACAAATCCGCGCACCAGCCCACCCTCCACATCCCACAGCTCTTCTACTTCGCAACCTTCACGCTCCTCACCTCCTGGCCACTCCTGCTCTCAAAATCCTTCATCGCAGAGTGCTGGGCCGATAACGTCGGCATCTACATCACGCTCCCACGCCGCTCCGCACGCGGCAAACGCGCGCGCAAGCTCCCGCCTGGCTTCGCCCCCGCCGCGGCCACAAAGCCCGTGTCAGTGGCCTGGCTGACACTGCTCCGCACCACATGTTTCTTAGCGGCGATTGTGTTTACTGTTCATTACAACACGTACCTGCACCCGTACCTGCTTGCGGACAACCGGCACTTTGTGTTTTACGTATTCCGGCGGAGCATCCTGCGCCACCCGCTCGTGCGGTATGCGTTGGCGCCGGTGTATCTGGTCGCTGCATGGAGCGTGCTCGCGGGTCTGCGGCGCGGGGGCGTGGTGAGTGTGGTGTGGATGTGGGGGTGGACAGCGGCGGTCGTGGGGACGCTGGTGGGCGCGGGGCTGGTGGAGCCGCGGTATTTTGTTGTGGGGTGGGTGTTGTGGAGGGTGCATGTTTGTGGTGGCGGGGAGGGGGAGGGGGTGGAAAAGTGGAGGAGGTGGGCAGAGACTGTGGGCTTTGTGCTCGTGAATGCGGGAGTGTTGTGGGTGTTTTTGAGGTGGGGATTCGCGTGGGAGGGTGAAGCGGGGGTGCAGAGGTTTATGTGGTAGTGGGGAGGGGGAAGCAGAGGGAAGGGAGTTGGGAGCCCAGGGGAGCGCGGGAGAGAGATATCAATGTAGTTTCCATTTATTTGTGCTGGAATAGCAGGGCAGAATAGCGGTGTGTGGGGAATAAAGTCGAATAGTGAAGCAATAAATACCCACGCTTATACCTACTCCCCGTACCGTCCATCTCTCCACCACCAAGCACTTACATCACAAACCCTCACTCGCAATGCACGAGTGATAGCACATGATCGTACACCAGGTCTAGCTTTTCTGGGTCCATCAGAAACGGCACCCCGTGAGCCTATGATACGCATCGAGGGACGCCTAGCTGGAAAGACTGCATCTGTATCCATCTGTACCATCAACTTTTATTGAGTCGTTATACAGGCCCCAAACACCACCTTGAATGCACGGTTTCGGGGCACTTCTAGCGGGTGTCTTCACTACTGCCGCAGGTACAGACATGAGGTTTAGCAGAGCGAGGTTTCAAATCTATTTATTGATCCTGGTACCGGGTCCGTAGTCTTCGAACGTGTGCAGCATCGAAGAGTCGCTACTACCTTTGGGGATTTACTGCTGGTACGTATTTGAGACTGGGTCAGGCTGGTGCTGTGCAGTGGTAGGTGGGCCTATAGCTCAGTGAGTGGGTTTGTGTATACGTGTAATATGGATCCCCCGGTTTGTGCGTGGATGGGTGTATATATGGATGTGATGATTCTGGGTAGGTGGGGGTGACGTTGGGTGCGATAGAGTTTAGTGACTTGTTGGTTTGTGCCGGAAACATGCAAACTGAAGCGCTTTGTTGTTTATGGTCTTCTAGATATATGAGGCGGTGATGAGCAGGAGTGTCTGTATTTGTATCTGTGTCCGCCGCAAATCAAGTAGAAGCATCCAGAGCCCTTATTTGCCGGGCCCGAGTAATCTGTAGGGTTGGCGGCCACGTTATTCGATTGCACTCCCTGGTGCTGTTTAGATTTAGGCATGCGGGCTTGATGTAGTGGGTGGGTTGTGCGCTGTAGTAGCTGCGTGCTGCTGGGTTGGTTGACCTGTGAGGCGGCGGTGGTGTGAGGTGAGTGATGGTGATGATGGTTGTAGTGCACGTGGTTTATGGAGGTGATACTCTACCCCGGGTCACGTTAATGGCTGCAAGCAGCGGTGGGTAGAAGCTTACATCTAAGTACCGCTGTGTGTTACTCGGTTGGCTGGCTAAGACAATCCTACGACCGCGGGCCACGCCACCGTGAAAAGGTGAAGGGAATCAGGAGCGTGGTGCCGACAGTATTGTCTGGTTGTCTAATGCTTGGTTATCCTTTTTTCTTTCCTTTGGTGAGTTAACGAAGAGTCAATTTATATATATCTTTGAGACGGTACACCATGGTGAAGCGTTCTGACCTTGGTCTCTAGCAGCCCCCCCCCCCCGAGCCGCAGCCATATGATGTGGTCGAGCTTTTGATGGTAGTGTGATATGAGCTGCAAGCCAGCTTGGGGTCTCGACCAACCCTCTGGTACCGTTCAATGGTTGATGGCTGGATTATATCGCTGGGAAACTTGAAGGGAATGAATTGCGGAGGTCCAAACTGTGGGAGCGAGTGGGATGATAGTACGTACTGTATCAGTTAAGGTACAAGAGAAGAGAGGAAAGATAAGAAAGACAGGGGATGATGTCGAGAACTTGAACATACGCTCATGAGCCCCCTTTCTAAAGCTTCTCGCTCACTCCTGACTGGATATAGGTAACGACACATGTCTTCTGGGATGATATTTTGAAGCAGTGGAGAGCCGAGAGCATAAATTGTATTGTATGCGATGATGATTGGAAAGAAGAGGAGGGTGAGAAGGGTTCCTCTTTATAGGTAGTTTACAGTTAAGAGAACAAACGGCTTTAAGACGAAAGTACAGATAGTTTGGGACAACATCCAAACATCATGAAACGTTAATAACAACAACAACTACATTCACCTGTCACAGACAATAACCAATAGTTTAACAGTTTTGGAGTATCTGTGAGTAGATATAGAGGTTAAGCTAGGAATGTCTAGCCATAGATCGACAGGGAAATAGGATTCGGCATATATTGGCTGATATTTTCACTGACTTCTTCGTGTGCTTATCCTTCGATCCCATCTACGTCCTGAATTACTTTGTTGGTCTATTTACAAACGTCTTTCTCGGTCTCAAGTAATCGGTAGGGCTATCAGCTGGATGTGTATATAAATTTGATCTTTACCAAATACGAAAAAATCCAACAACACTCTTTGGCGCCTTGTAGCTGGCGCCGGTGCCTTCACCTCTGCCACAAATCCGTGAAACCCACAGCCTGTACCTACTTACAGAGAATACTAACCAGGTAATATGCATGGGAAGGATATTGTGTGTCTCTCCAACGAAAACTGTGGTAGAGAGTGGAAATTGTCGTAGATAGTGGAAACTGTCGTAGATAGCAAGTGATTGTATTATACTCCGATAGTAGAGAATTTGAGCTGCGCCAGTTGAAGTGAAAGTCAGATAGGTTGGACAGAGAGTCTAGCAATTATAAGCAAGGCTGTAGTCAATCAGAGGTGTAAGGCTTTCTATTTAACTGGTGTAGTTAAAACTCTGTATGTTTACTGAGAAATATCCGTAATTCAACTACAGTCTTCACCAGGCTTTTTAATGGGCTGGACCGGTCACAGAAAAATAGATATATAGCCCATCCAAAGAAATTTATTGAAGTCGAAATAGCTAGAAGGGAATTTGGAACCTGTTTTTCTTTCACAATCGGTAGAGATATATAGTTATAAATCGGCCCATATATTTGGACCGGTCCGGCCCATATATCTGGCGGCCCATTAAAAAGCCTGGTCTTCACCGCCACTTGACGAATATAGCTAGCTGACGAATAGGGGACTTTGTATGGAGCGGTAAATGTGTCAAAAGTAATTTTACCAACGGTAGTAAATCGTTTTTACCACCGGTGGTGAAAATAATGCCATCATTTATACCTTATAATGGATAAAAGCACAGACCTTTTGGCCAAAAGGGGCTATATAATGCCAATTTATGAGTCCTATTGTCCACCGGTGGGGAATTCACCATTGGTGACAGGTATTTTACCACCAGTGGCAGGTATTTCACCACTGGTGGGAAACTTTCATAAGTGTTGGCATTAATGATTGAATATCTACTAATGAAGTATAGCACAGCATAAAGATTGAAATTCAGTGTTTATACTGGCACAAGGACTGAAATTCAGTACTTATACAACCGGTGGTAAATAACCTATCAATCGTTGGTAAAATCACTTTTGACACATTTACCGCTCCATACAATAGTACCTAAAAAGACTGGAGATCTCACAGCTTGGTTGTTGCTTGATCATAAATGTTTCCTGCCACACATGGAGTTAATCCTGGTTCTGTCAGTATTCGTCAAGAAACGGTTAATGACTAGTATGTAGTCAACGTGGATATAAGAGATTTCAATGGGCTTGAGGTTATATGGACTGGCCTGAGCTTTGGCTTAACAGGCTAGGCTTAGGTCATCGTATCTGATTTTGGGCTAGGCTTGGTCATAAAAGGGTTGAGGCCCGGGCTTTAGGGGTGATATATGGGCCAATTAAGAAAGTAAGATCGAACAATAAGAGTTTCTAGTACCAACTGTTAACTATGCTTCGCAGAAATACTCGCTCATCAACCAAAGAATCAGAATCCATCAGAACCAAATCCTTAAATCAAATTTTGACCAGTAAAAATATTGTGTGAATTATCAAAGAAGCCCGAGATTAAGCCTATTTAGATGGGCTAGGATGGACCCCGCTTCTGCTTGTTGGGCTTGGGCTAGTCTATACCTATTTCGGGCCCAGTCCCGCCTATTAAAACCTCTGGTGGATATATAATGGATTTTACACATCCGCACATCCCTGCATAGATGCATTCAATCGTTATGAATTTGGTAGCATTGTGAACCACTGATCCAGTGCCGGCTTCCTACGAATGTGCTCATAGTTTGGCGCGTAGGAAGCATAAGCTCCATATATCAAGACATGTAGATATATCATGTCAAAGATGCTGTTACTGTTACGGATATTGGCGGAGACTGGCTTGCAATTGGGTGAATAAAGAGGCCACCGACAGGGGAGTTAGTGTTAGTAATGGCCGGGGGTCCTCACAATCTCGGCCATGATGAGGAATGACAGGTCGTTAAAGGGCGTGTGTCATGTGTCGTTATTGGTGAGTTATGGTAAGCTCTATTCTCCTCTTTTTGGTTGAATCCGTCAACACTTTCTAGAGATAGTTCTTGAACTGTATTGCAATCGGTGTAGAATGCCCCGCTGTACTGTAATGTATTTCCCCGAATTTTTTGTGTCTTAATAGCCTGTCAATATAGCCACAACGGCTATTAATAGCCAGAGTTAGGCACATATGTACATGTGCGTAACCGCATCACATCACAGTAGAGTACTTGTTTACCACGAAAAGAACCAGAAAATGCAGTTGCTCAGGGCAAGGATTATTTGTATGGAGTGGCGGTGATCTCTCATACAAACTATCCCTGTTTCCGTCACTTGCATTTGCTGGTTCTTTTCATGGTAAACGAGTACATACAAGGCCAGCGGCAATGCACCATGATCTGCAGGTAGCCGCGCGATTGATTGGGATGGATGTTCTTTCGATGAGAGATCGTACTAACCGTGCGTCGTTTCATAGATCCAATATGGTGAAAATTTCAATCATTGTCGTGAGATGATGACACTGAAGGGTGATATCCTCTCCCAACAAATTTAGGATGACGGGGGGGTTACATGCAAATGTTCTGGTGATGTCCAGGCGTGCTCTACCTAACTTGACAGCGCTAGGCGACCAACTCTTGGCGTGCGCAGTGAGTCAAGTGATGTCTACATATACCTTTCTCCTCCCTCATATTCCTACGTTCATCCCATCCCCCAACAACATTCTTCCCGGATAGAATAACCATAGACAAATCCGGAATTTTAGCCAACATTTACACATTCCATCGTCCAAACA